GACTCAAATATTTATACATGTTACCCTTATACCTCCATTTATATTTGACTATAATTATTTAAATGTCCTTCATCATAATATATACCAAGATTTAATACATAACCACATACTGGCATTTCATTTAATATTTCTAAAATCCTCCAATAACACTGAATCCTTATGTCCTATTCTAGCTAAACATCCATAATATTTAATAACAAACTTTTCTAATCCTCTTTTCCAAATCACTGTTGGCAATTTTCATCTAGTTTCCTTATAATATACTCATACATATGTATAGGTTGGCATCATTATCCCTCCTTTATTTGACTATATTTTGTATCATAACATTTACCCCCTAATAATCAAAACTTTACTGTATCTAACTTAATTCTATTTTATCTATTCCTTTTGTAGTCCACTATGAGCTTCTTGGTCTTATTGGTGTTAAGGACCAAGTCCTACTCAAAAGTCCAAGGCAAACACCGCTACAAAGATGTTAAAACACCCACACACCCCAAAATCTGCACGGTGTTTGCACCCTGTGCTGATACAGAGAATCCTTGACTTAACAGCCATTCGATCAGACTTACAACCGCCCTGGGGGGGGAGGAGACTTCGCTCCTTTTCCACAACGTTAAGACCGTTGCGGCCTCGTGATCAAAATCCAGACGCTCGGCAACTGGTTCGTATTTAGGACTGTTGCGGTGTCCCAGAGTCACGTGCCCTCCATTTGCGGCCTTCTGAACAAGCCAAGTCAATAGGGGAAGCCGGACGCGCTTAACGACCGTCTCGCTAACTTCACCTTTGGCAGGGAAACCCCTTAACCTCTGCGGCCAAGAAAGGCTGTTGAAGCTCGCTGAATTTTAACGGGGGCGAAACTCACGGGAGAAAATGTCACGCTTAGCGACGGTCTTGTGCAGACTTAAAACAAGAGAAGGGCGCAGCTTGGAAAGGAATAGCTTGTAGGGGCAGTTTGAGGCTCCAACACAGGGGGTGTCGAACTCAAGGCCCGCGAGCCGGAGCCGGCCCACAGGGTGCTTAAATCTGGACCACGGGGCCACGCCACAAAGAGCGAAGACCCGGCCCACGGTGCCTCTGCCAGCGAAAATGGAGCTTCGTTTTTGCTGGCAGACAGTTGCAGGAGGCCAGTGCAGCCAGAAATGTGTTGTGGTCTGCCGGTGGCCTGCGGAGCTGGCAGCAGAGTCGGACAGTGAGGAGATTGGGGAGGAAGATGGGCTAGTCCTGGTGGCTGGGGAAGGCTCAGATGAAGGCTCCGAGAGGGGTCCAGGGCCATCTGGGACTTATGAGCTGCCACTGAAACCTGACATCAGCGGGGCAGAAGAACAGTGTGAGTCTGTTCCAAGTTTGCACAGGGGCAGAGCTGCCAGAAGGCAAGAACAATTAAGGGGGGGGGGGAGGGATGACTCGGGAGTAAGGCTTGGAGACGATTGGCCCCTCCCATAAGACGTAAAAGAAGAGCAAACGGAAGTGAACCTTTGCAGGAAACAATTCGTTCATCTAGTCGGTTCAAGCTGTGAGAAGTCCCGTTCCGTTTGGCTGTGCAAAACTAAACGGCAACGTTTCAAGGGAGATAAAAGGTGGGCGCTTATCAACCTTACCCTGAAAGGCTGTGGCAACTCGAGCAGGCATCTGTCGGGATCTTCACAGGCTGTTTGTGAATCACTAGGGGCTGTGAGTGACCATAATTCACAGCGGTCTAAATAAAAGAGGCTCTTTGGGACTGAGATTGGGATTTATGCTTTCTCAGGAAACCTAGGTCAGAACAAAATGCAACTCGGGAGCCCGTTTTCACTGGCAGAGCACCCTCGACACGAGTGACGTCAAGCTGGCCACGCCCATCCTGTCCATCGCCCATCCCAGCCCCCTGAAGTCAAAAGCAACCCTGATGCGGCCCTCAACGACATTTGAGTTTGACACCCCCTCTCCAACCACTCAAAGGGAAAGAGGCCTGGTGAGGAGCGGGGAACGGGAAACCTCGTCGTGTCTCTGGCCCTTCTCTGCTCCCCGTTTTTATTCCTAGCCTCCCAGCTGCTTGGGAAAGAGGTTAACATCTACCTTAGATAGTTGCCTGCGATAGGATGGCGCTCAGTGGGTTGCTGCCAATTCTCCTTCTGCTCCTTGGCACCGAGCAGGGGCTGCCCTTCCTCTGTGGCCATTTCTCCTGTTCAAATCACAAAGACTCGTGTCAGTAACCGAGGCCATCATAGGCTCCTCAAAGACCCTAAAGGTCTGCCTTGCTCAGGTGAGCTATCCTCCTCCAGGTACGCCGCTCTGCAACGAGCGGCTTCCCGCTGCCTGGAAAACGCCTGGATGCAACCCAAAATATGGGGAGGCCCTGATGAGGTTACCTAGTTGGGTCGTGAAACTCACAGCCAAGCTCAGAGCGCGCCGAAGACTCCACCTCTGAAGGTCCCTAAATTACGGCTAAATTTAATATATCTTATAGGCCCAGGCTTTGTCTAAGAGCTGTGGTTGCTAAGGCATCTCCAAAACGGGCCTCAATGAAACGGGGTCTTGAATAGCTGGTTTTATTTGCCATGAACTTTTCCAGAGTTTAGTTATTTCAGTTAGGATTAAGAAATGAGATTAATATATATATATACACACACACACACATATATGGGGCCACCCGTTTGGGAAAATGTCAGTGGGGGGAAAAAGAGAATAGTTAAAATGATCCTTCCTTCCCTTCCTTTATGCTTTCATTCTTCTCTTCCTCCCTTTCCTCTCCTCCCTTCTCTTCCTTTATTCTTCCCTCCCTCCCTTTCCTTATCCCTTCCTTTGCTTTCATCCTTCCTTTCCTCTCCTCCCTTCCCCCTTCCCTTCCTTTACTTTCATCCTTCTTCCCTTCCTCCCTTCTACTTTCATCCTTTCATTTCCTCTCCGCCCTTCCCCGCCTTCCTTTATTCTTTCATTTTTCCCTTCCTTCCTTTCCTTTTCTCCCTTCCCCTTCCTTACTTTCATCCTTCCATTTCCTTTCCTCCCTTCCCCCCGTCTTCCTTTACTTTCACCCTTCCCTTCCTTCCTTTCTTCTCCTTCCTTCCCCTTCCCTTCCTTTACTTTCATCCTTGCATTTTCTTTCCTCCCTTCCCCCTGCCTTCCTTTACTTTCATCCTTCCCTTCCTTCCTTTCCTCTCCTCCCTTCCCCCCTTCCTTTACTCTTTCATCCTTCCTTTCTCCCCCCACTCCACCCCTTTTAGCAGATCACTCAGGCTAAAAAGCTGAAGTCACCTCATGGAAAAAACCTGCTGTCCCTTTTTGTTTTGTTTTGCTTTGCTTCCTTATATAAGGCACTTACTAGAGATTTGATTACAGGGTGGAGGTAACGTTAAGGATTAACAAACTGACAGGTGAAAACGACAGGGATTTTAAAAATAAATAAATAAATAAGGAACAAGGGCCATATGGGGGTGATAATGTAAAAGGCCTCTGTTCAGCGGCTGACATGCAGCACAAAACTGGCTCTGGATTGCAGCCAACCGTCTCCAGGAACTTGTCCTGCACAACTATTAAAACACACCATCTCAAATATTTTCCCCCCTAAGCCTATGTAAATGTACACCCTATGTACATTTCCTGCATGCTTCTCCCTACAAGGACTTAATACTTGCAGCCATATGCGCTTTCACACAGAGAAGCTGTTATTCTTTGGGCAGAGACAACCTGGAACTAGTTCAGACATGTCTCCAGCATTCCTGGAAAGCCGTGGGAGACTGTGGGAGGAAAGAGCCGCAACCGATAAGCAAAAACTTCAGGGCAGAGAAGGAACGGGGGTGTGGAAAGTGACTTAGAAGGGGCCCTCCCTGGGTTTCTGGGGAGGGAAAGGAAGGGAAGGAGAAGCACCTTTCAGAAATGCTTACGAGATGCTGACATTGATGGCTTGGTTGCTTACCTAGATGAAAAAAACAGAGGTGCCTTCTCCACTCCCCCCCCCATTAATATCCTGCTCTGATGGGCAAGAACCCCCCATCACTGGCTGCCTCCAGAAGGTCAAGTTCTGGACCTTCTAGGTTTTCAAGAAGAGACTGGGCAGTCATATGCCTGACATGATATGGGTCTCCTGATAGGACTAGAGGACCTCTAAGGTCCCTTCTGTTATTATGTGTGTGACTTAAATGGGTCTCTTTTACTGTCTCCATGGTCATGTGGCCGGCATGACTCAACGCCAAAGGCACACGGAACGCTGTTCCCTTCCCCCCAAAGGTGGGCCCTATTTTTCTAGTTGCATTTTTTACGTGCTTTCAAACTGCTAGTTGGCAGAAGCTGGGATGAGTCACGGGAGCTCACTCCATTAAGGATTTCAACTGCTGACCTCTTTCTGATCGAGATGCTCAGCGTCCTAGCCACTGACCACTGCGTCCCCTAACTTTGAACACTCTACAAAATGAACTTGTTGTAAGTTGATGACCGCCTGTAAACTATTTTGGTGTGTGTGTGTGTGTGTGTGTGTGTGTGTGTGTGTGTGTGTGTGTGTGTGTCCTTTTTTAGAAGACTGGACAGCTATTTGTCTGAAAAACGGGATAGTTGAGCAGAGGGTGTTGGACTAGATGACCTCCAAGGTCCCTTCCAGCTCAGATTCGGATTTAACCACCTCTGTGATTTTTCTGTATTCTGACCTTTTGGTGGGGGAGATTTAAAAGGGATTTCTGACCTCAAGTCAGAACCCCTCCTCACAACCTCTGATGCCCCCCACCCCTTTTTGGCTTCCAAAGGGCCAAGCTGAGGCTCATCCTTGGAAGGAGAGGGAGGGGGGAAGCAATAGCAGCCCCCCCCTTGACTCTATGCCCCCCCAGAGGCCTCCATGTCCCCCCCACCCAAAACCTGTCCCCGCCCCCTCTCCTTCCCACCCTGCTGGCCCCGCCCCCTGGCTGCAGGGGGGTCTCCATAGCAACCTGTGC